TAATAATTTGCAGAAAAAATATCTTACCTTCGCGGTACCCAAAGCTTTCGGATCTTCTCGAGGTTTCAATGCACCAGGATTGTTACTTGGTAAACTAGATAAAATCGTCACAATCTTACCCCCAATAGGTGACTAAACAAATGGTATGCATAAAATGACATTTTAGACTTATTCCGCTAAAGGTTTTGAAATCTAAATACAGTGCTTTCTTTTCGATACCAACAATCAATTTAAAACCAGCCAACAAAGCAGACCCTAGGGAATTCCCGACTATCTGAGTATCCTTGAACATATCTCCAAGACGACTGAGCAGTGATTCAACTACAGCCCGAGACTCTGTGAGGTTTACTAACAAATCGTCTGGTTGTGGAAGAAATACATCCTCGAGGTCAGAAACAACCAACATTTGGGGTTCTGATGCATTAGACTATCATTATTATATGTGCATCAAATTTTACAATTAATAAAAAAAAATTATTTTCATGAATTATAAAGGATTAATCAAATAGTTGACATACGTTCAAGCTATAAAAGTGTAATGATGTGTCAAAGGTAATAAACCCAATCTTCGTTCTCTTTTCTTCATTAGGTATACGTTCCAAAGATTCCAAAATAGTTTTCGCCACTGTTGCCACAGCACCTTCAATTTCAACAAAAAAAAATTACCAAGATATGAATGTGTTGAAAAATTGACTTAAACATAAATATGATCAGTAAGTTGCTCCGTGAAAAATTATATTCTGGAAATATTAAATTATTCTGCATGCAATAGTAATTTGAGTGTAGATGAAAAATTCTTACCAGATTGTACGGCTGGGAAAGAAACGTCAATCACAAACAAATACACTGATGGTTGAGGAGGACGAACCTTTCAGGCAGAATCCAAATCGTAAATATTGCTTTCTATGTAGAAAAAATCATGTCATTGAATAATAGTTCTCGTCCTACCATATACTCGGTGGGTGCAACATATTCGACGACGGCATGATTCAACTCAGCACGTTTCCATCTTTCTGTCGGTTGATTTGTCTGTAAATCCAGATCGAACTGAGGAGGTACTGTTGTAATGTCAAAAGTAAATATCAGTAAATTTGTACTAAAATCATTAGCATAACACAAGGCACTCGTCCCAATTACCTTCGTTTAATAAGAAGCACATATTACACTGCCATTTTTGACCGCTGTCCGCAAAAGTGATAAATGGATTAATGTATGCTCTACACCGCCGACATCTTGCTATGACAGTATCTGTAACCACAGGAACTGGATCCTAAAAATGGTGCGACACGATATAGCTATAATTTCATCTAGCATGGGTTGATACATAAAAATTCAACCGTAATCAATATATTTACTCACATCACCGTCTTTTAAGCTTCTATAAGGGGTAACAACTAGTGCAAATGGTAAGCGAGATTTATTAAGAAGACTTGAAGATCCGGGTACAGCGTTGATAGTACATCGTTTGTAAGATGGATCGCAGTTCGCTTTATCTGACGGAGTTACAGTCGACTTGAATAATAAAAGATAGTAAGAAATATGCGGTGTTTAGAATCACCATATGCTTACTTTTTTAATTGAACGGAACATATACGACTTACGTTAGGTGGTAGATTAATCGGTGGTGGAGGTGCGTCCAAGTCTCTGACATTCGGAGGGACACCGATTAGTTGAACGGGAATCAATTGTGACTTTTCGTTTTCGGTAGTTCGATTTCGCGCAAGACAAGAGTTTGACAGTTAATTCCAACAAATCTGTCATGTAGGTGGCTCAAAAAATATATGTACCTGTGGTGTTCCGCCAAAGCCCATACTACTAAATTGATTCGATAGTTGTGTCATTGTAGATTTTTGAGGCTGTGCATATTGTTGGTTATACATTGGAGTTACTGGCGTCGGTGTAGCTTGGAAATTCTGATTTCCGGCAGGAGTAAAGAATTGGGGCTGTTGATATAGATTTTGCTGAAGGGGTGGTTGTTGACCAACACCAGGAGCCATTGATGGTGTGAAAGATTGATATGATGAATCATACGTGTTGGTTTCCGTGTAAGCTTCGGTAATTTGTTTTGGATATAAACGCTTTGGCTTATGAGTGCTCGCTGTTGGTGGCGTCGAGGCACGTTGTTCAACTGGAGGTGGGGAAGTAGAATTCGGTGTTGCCATTTGATATCCAGGGCCCGTCGCCGTGGGCGAATGATTTGGATACGGTGGTGAACCTACTTGGCCCACTGTAGGAATTTGTCCCGGTCGATAACTTGGAGAAATGGGAGACCTCGGTCCTGTTTGTTGACCGGGTAGTTGCTGAGGAATACCAGACGGGGGACGGTAGCCACCAGAGGGTAGCGGTGGCGATGGGCTAACGCCGATCGTTGGAGGTCGTGTTTGCATGTTGTATCCACCAGGGGGCGTGAAAGGACGTCCAAGAGGTGGATTTCCAAAACGAGGATCTGGTGCAGGCCGTTGGTTTGGGTAGCCACCGCCTGGACCGGGAGGGGCAGGGCGATATGGGGAAGGACCTCTTTGTATTGACTGGTTGGGGTCTGAGGGCTGCATTGGACGAGAATTTGGAGATGGAGGGCGATAAAGAGGTTGAGAAGTTGGAATATTTGCCATATTTTTTTTTTTGCTTAAACAACCGGGAACTGTTTAGCTTTTATTCGATTTCTGACGAATCAAATTCATTCTCTATTTCAAACCTATTAAAACCGTCCAGGTGGCACAATAAGATTCTGCCAACACATATTAGGTTAATCTATATCATGTTTGAAATTATAGATTTATTTTTTTTTTGAGTACCCGTAGTCAAGCTAGATCATCAGTTTATTAATCAATTGATATATACTATAGCTAAACTATTATTCTAATCTAACTAACTTGTCATAAGCATATAAGCCTTTAAGTTCAATCTTGGAAACAATATTTCATTCTGCAGTGTCTTTGAGTAAAAACCCTTCTAGTATACTGTATCATTGTTAGCAGGTTGTCATTGTCATAGTCTAACCAAACCCTACAGTTTTTATTTGAATTATTCAGTAGGTTAAAATTACTGTCATATGTACTTGTATAGACAAAGAAAAAAAGAAAAAAAAGAGTAATATGTCTATTATATACAGTATATTCTCAAATAAGCATTATAGTAAACTATCATATATATAGCTAACTAGTTTTTTTCCTCTATTAAGTTAGTTATATGTGTTTTATTAAACATTTGCAGGCTATATATATTAAATGAAATACTAAAACAAATTTTCTAACTAACTCATTTGTTTTAATTATATTACCTCTTTAAGTATAACTTCGGAAGTGATTTATCACTCCATTAAAGATTTAAGTGAAGATCTTTCTAACTTTTACAATAACATCATTACTCACAGGTTATCACTGCAGATATATATAACTAACTATTATATATCAATTATACTATATATGTATAAGTATTACTTCAATAAAAAACTCATAAAGTAAAAAAAAACTCTTTCCACTAATTTTCTATCCATATACAAAAAAGATGTTTGCAAGAAATTTTTATTTCTTTGCTAATAAAGTCTTAACATTATTCTTAAACCAACTTAAAGTTTTACTTTAAGAGATATTTTTAAACCCTTTCTCTTATTTATATTCATTTTCAAACAAAAAATTGGCTTCCTGGGACCTAGAAAAGTCAAAAAATACCTTCTCTATCTATGACAAGAAAGTTCTGAAAGGAAGAAGAACTAATAGTGTAATACTTGAAGCCTTTCATATTGAAGCATGTCTATAAAGGTTTTCTGCAGTGGGAGGCAGTGAACATCAAGTCGTATTTTAAATGTCTGCCTACTGTTTTTTCTCTCTTATAGTTACACAAAATTTTTTTGGTTTTCTGGGAAATTTTGCCTACCTCAGTTTGACCTTGAATTTTAGGTAACACAATCTATTGCAAAATATGATTGGTGGACACAAAACATGTTAGTAGCTAAATATAAACAAGTACATATTGGTCACCTTACATGTTCCAATAATGTCATTGGTAATAGAAAGAGTTGATTGGTGTCCCGTGTTCGCCCACTCCTCCAATTGGATTAATCTACAGATCAAGTACCATGAGGTCAATAAGATATAAGTAACAAGTCTTTAGATAGTGAAAAAGTTGCTATTTTTTCAAGCTAAGATCTTTCTCTCTTATCATTCTGGTCAGGCAAAGTTCAAGACCAAGGTTTCCTTTTTATCACAGTTAGACAATAAGACCAAATGGTCTTTAGTTCATACTAAGTTCCAACCCTTTGGTTATAGTTGAGAATGCATTTTCCCAGAAGTTGTTGAAGGATATCGCAATTGATGAGGATCCTTACTACTCTTCTGGTACCCTCCCACTATTGTAAAGCAAAAAAATCTTTAGGGAAAGACTATTTTGGACAATGAAAGATATATATCAGTAAAATTCCTTTAATTAGGCATGGCTATTGGAAGGCATCATACTGAAACAACATAATCCAGTTCCTACTAGATCACATAAGAACCTGTGGTTCATTGTAAGTTGTCTTTCCATCACAGGTGGATAAAAAATTACTGCCCAAAGAAGATTGGAACCAAGTATATCCTGGAAGTAAAGGCTCACACTAGGTAATAAGTCTCCTTAGACGGTACTTAAGAAGAAAATCACAATCAAGAATGAATAAGTTTCTCAGATGGTCAGAAAAAAAAAATATTCCAATTGAACATTTTTTATTGAGAAGAGATCTTGAGAAGCAGGTCTTTAAAGGAAGCTGAAGATATTTTTTTTCAATTTTTACCTTTTCATTTTCTTGTGGTCTGCTTGGACATTTTTAGATATTCTCTTTCTTTTTTTTTCAATCCATCCTTTTGTAGTTTCCTATATTCCAGTGGCTTGATTAGACATACAACAGTAACAACTTGCTGGCAATGATGCAATGGACTAGAAGAGTCTTTACTCAAAGACACTGTAGAGCAAAATATTGTCTCCAAGGTTGAACTTAGAGGCTTTTATGCTTACGACGAGTTAGTTAGATTAGAATAATAGTTTAGCTGTAATATGTATCATACTGCTCAAATGAAAATGTACTTTTGTCTTCATTTGATTAATAAACTGACAATCTAGCCTGGCTATGGGTACTCAAAAAAAAA